CTGTTTATACTGTATATACAGTAGATATACTCTATTTTTTTCATATTTTTTAGACTTTTAAACAAAAAATCTAACAAAACCTTTAGATCGCTATACAGAAAAATCATGACAAGCTCTGCTGATCATGGTTAAACAATTTTGACTATCTGACTCAGTTTTCAGGCTTTTTTAAGTTTTATTACGTCTCCATCTAATTGCGTTTGTTTTCAGAAATGACAGATGCAGGTGGTGACCATATTGGATCAAATATTACATCAAAACATACATACACATTTTTTCCAACCTCAAAATTATAGTTCCAGTGGTGTTTTTAGCACCCATCAACTTTTTTTTTGTATTGTTTCATTTTTAAAATACAGATATATTTTCATACTGATTTAAATGACTAAATAAAATATTTTGTTCCTTTTGGTATTTTTACAATAACAGTAACCTCCGCCTGGTTCCTGAGCAACAGAAAAGTTTTTATTTTATTTTTTATAAAATGTGTCTAAAACATCCAGATTTACCAATATCAAAATTTATTTATTACAAATCTCAATCACAAAAAGTTATAAAACATCACCAAAAAAAACAGAAAATGTTTGATTTAAAAATATCTGGAGTGTGGACCAGGACTCAGACATTGTCAAGTTTAAAGAGGTCTTTAAATAGGACAAGGCCTATTAGCTTTTTCTTGCAAGCATGATTGACTGCAGCTGGTGGTTTCTCTACAAAAAAAACAACAAAAAAAAAAAAAAAAACATTGTTTGACTCTACTTATTGCATTGACTTGACCGATATTAATTAGTTCCCTCCTCAAAAGAAAATTAATTTGTTAGGATGTTCAGAAACAATCAAGAACCACCAAAGCTCAGAACAATTGGAAACTGCTGGAACACCAGAGTTCACAGTAAAACCATTTTTAGATTACTAAAAGAGCAGGTGTCAATCAAAGCTGTCCACAAAGCAAACTGTGTTCTGAAGGTCAGACAAGACAAAGATTGTGCTATTTGGCCACAACACCAAAAAGCATGTTTGGAGTCAGTGTGAGGCTTGTCAGCCTAAAACCACTGGTTATATATAATGTGTGCTTGGAGTATCGCATAAAGTGAACGGAATAATGTCAGTCGAGGACTACCTCCCAATTTGTCCAACTTCCCTTTAAATGAACAGCTAGACAGTTGAGATGGACACAGCTGGGCATTGGAACAAAACAATGGTCCAAAACACAATTCAGAACTGGTTTCTGAGTTAGGTTTTTGGAACGGTCACCCCAAACAAAGCCCGGGCCGCATTTAAGAACTATAATTAAATACTGGGTCATGTCAAGAAATGAACCAGTTAAACAAGCAGCATGCAGATGTCCTCCATCACTGAACAGTACATGTTTGTAGTTTGGAGTTGAGTGTTTTTCTGGACTGGAATTGAACAGTCAGTGAATGTAAGTAAACCTTAATGTTTCTGATACAAGATATTCAAGTAGGTAGGAATGACACTGTGGAGAAGAACAGAGGCAGTTTATTTTATTATTTTACTTGTCCGAGGCAGTAGAGTGATGGATCCTGGTGAGTGGAGGGAGTTACTTTATCCACCACCAGGTGCAATGGTGGAGCCAGGGGGTGGCCAATGGTGGCCTTGGCCACCACAGATGAATCATCAACCACTCTAACCATTTAGTTTCTAGTTTTTATTTAAGCAATACAAAAACTAGAAAGCATAGTTTCCTCCAATAATTAGGGTGGCCAGTTAACATATACTTAAGTAAACGGTTTGTAAGCTCAATTGTCCAGGTAGATAACAACAAAGGTTAAATCGTCATCTGGACCAGTTTAAGTGAGAAACGTTTTGTCCCCAATCCAGTGGACTTTGTCAGTCTATACAAACGATGTATATACTTCAGTGTTTCTCCTATCATTATCCAAGGAGGGCGCCTCGCCCTGTCAAAAGAACCGAGTGCCCTGTCTACCTTATATGGCGGCAGCCATCTTGGATTTTGACGTGGTGACCTAATTTTCAGTGGTGAACTTTCTCACGTCTAGATGTAGCCACACCAAAATGGAAGTCGGTACCTCACTTATTTTTCATGGTAACATGCTCACAACATGCACAGATGGGAGTTATTTCTCTATCCCCCTCTGCTTTGAGATGGGGGCCAAAAGAAAAGAAGAATTCTGCTAAAACAAGTGGTCAAATATCAGCCAGAATGAAGTCAGAAGCTTGTTGATGGCATTATATTAACATTTGACACGTTCAATCAAAATAGCCTGTTGTGTAGAAGATAGAATCTGATAATATAATCTGCTAGACACGCAGAAGGTCCTAGGTGGGGCAGCTGTGACTCTGTGATTAGATCAGTCGTCCTCCGATGCTAGAGTTGGGGGTTCGATTCCACGAGCAGTCACATGCTGGTGTGTCCCTGGGCTAGACACTGAACCCCTCATTGCCTTCGATGTGTGTCCCATCGGTGTATGAATGTGATCTAAAGTACTGATTAGTCTTTGTATAGATATAGTAGAGTGCTGTATGCATGGATAAATGAGAGCACAGATTGTGTTGTAAAGAGCTTTGAGTATCTTGAGAAGATAGAAAGGTGCTACAGTATATAAGTACAGTCCATTTACCATAATCCAAAGCTCCAGGTCACAGAGTGGAAAACCTAAGGTCAACACTAACAAACAGTTCCCTACCTCCAAAACCCCTGGTTTTACACGTTTTAAACTATTTACAAAACACTGATGGATTTAAGATTCTGGGGGAAAAACGACAGATGAAATCTTAACTAATGTAACAGAAAACTAACTTAATGAAAGAATCTTTAAAAGACAAACCAGCTTCAGGTTTGTTTTCCTGTCAGCTGACATGATCTAGAGCGAACAGAACACAGTACTCACTTAGATCATCTGAGTCCAAACAGCATCAACATCAGCTGTTTTCATGATCACAGTCTCATCGGAGTGTCTTTCAAGTCTATGGATGTAAACAAAACGGCAGAAAAAGAGGAGTTTGGTTTCTGTTTTCTCCACTTGTGGGTCGTCAGACCTCCAGCAGATACCTCCCAACCCAACTTGTTATCTGATGCCATTTGTAGAGTCTGTTAGCTCTTAAACAGACGGGAATCAGCTCAGCGAATCAGACGATAGAAGATCCAGAAACCGAAGACGACCCAGTGGCTGGCCCAGTTCAGTTCAGACCACCTCTGGATGGTATGGATGGCTGTGTAACCCTTGAGACAGGAACAACAAAAACTCTCAGTCTGATACCTGCAGGCTGTCAAAGTCAGCCCACAATCCTGCTGGGACACGTTTAATCTGAAGTGTTACAACTGGTGAAATGAATATTTTCAACATAAACAACAATCACAATGACTCCCCACTTACCAACTGGAAGAGTTTTCACCAAAACCTGGAGCTTATCTGACCTCGAGTATGAGCTTCAGGTTTAACTTTCTATATATTGTCAAAACGAACGTTACAGCAAATTACCTACACTTACCAGGCTGTCCTTTAAACTGGACAATGTTCAAAAAATAAAACAGACTGTTCTGCTTTAAAGCAAACAGCTGATAAATTCAGCAGTTCGGTTTTACGCTGGACTGTGTTTGTCAGCTGGAACAAGCTTCAGAAATAAGATGTTTGGGTTCGCTTATGGTAACAGACCATAAAACCAAAGACAGGGACATCCATTCACACATTCAGGTGAGAAGTTTAAGTCAGTGCCAAAGCTTACCTCTTCAACTTCCTGTTCATCAGCTCCAGGATCAAACATGGAGCCGAGGTAGGTCAAATGGAAGACCACCAGAACACTAAAGAGCAGGTTCAGCAGCTTCACCCAGTAGTTCTGCAGAGCAAAAGAAAACACTGAAAATTATCCCTGACCTTCTAACAGCCATATGAACGCCTGATGAAGTCTGAAACACACTGATGGAATGAAGAGTCAGCAGAAATTAATAACGTATGCTGCTGAAACTGGTTCAGCTGATCTTTAAAGACCTTTTAATGAGGATTTAAATACTGGATGGCCTGTACCTTCTTGTGTTGGTGGGCGCAGTTGGACAGACAGGGTCTGGACAAGATACAGGCACTGAGGATGGATCCAAGTTTTGTTCTCAGAACTGACAACAGGCACACAAAAATAACTTTAATTAATTTTTTTAAATTATTATTAAGACACAAATGAGCTAGTAAATTTAAAAAGGATTCACTGTGTTTCTACAGCAGAGGTGGGTTTAGATGTTTACTGTGACACCTCTGGTCCAAACTTTAACCAACAGAATTCTAAATAAAAATAAATAAAAAATCTGCTCTTAATAAAACAAAGTAATAAACATTATGATGTATTGGGAAGAAGCTGTTTCTTATATGATGGGAAGATAAACCACAACCTAAACGAGCAAAGGTCTGAACAGACCTGGATGTTTACCACAGGGTTCAGACAAGTGCTGCACAAAATGTTAAAACTTTATCTGTGAGCGCGACTGCTTGAACTGCAACAAACCATGGACCAGTATATTTACTGCTATCAAATATTTGGTACACCTCAAAATTCTTCACACTACAGAGAAAAGCTGCACACTTTGGAACCAATTATTCAAATTGTGAAACAGTTTACTTTTCATGTATTTAAATGTTCCATACATGCCGTGATTGCTGAACATGGGCACCAGCAACCCCCGTGACCCAAAATGGAAGAAGTGGGTAAACGACAATGGATGGATGGTTGGATGGTATTAAAAGCAAGACATAAATTCAAATTATGTGTCTTGCCCAGCAACAAGTGTACTGACCAAGCAGATCAAAATTCACCTCCTCCATTCATATCGTAACAATTCAGTGCATCAAACCTCATCACTTCTTAGTGTGAGAGATGTCTTGTATGGGGCACATGTAAAGAAACATGCATTCAACAGTAGGGCAGCAGTGTTTACATACCATGTTCCACATACGTGATGAGTCCCAAGGAGATCAGGACAGCTCCCAGGTGAAAACTCAGACCCTGGAGAAGACCAACAGAAGAAATGCAGTCATCCATCACATAGTTGAAAGTATCTTGATACATGCTCAATAATCCAGGTAGAAAAATCCAAAAAAGTTCAGTCTGGTCCTCTGGACATCCAAAAAACAAAAAAACAAAAAACAAAGCAAAAAAAAATGTAGAAACGTTTCGTCTCTCATCCGAGAGACTTCCTCAGTCTGAGGTGCTGTATTCAACATACATAGTTGAAAGTGTTTTACTGAGATCTAGGACCTGATCAATAGACTACTGACAGCAGCAGCAGTTTTCTAGAAACTACACATGGACCATAGGAAATGCACATGGACCACAGGAACTACACCTGAATCTCTCAAACTATAGAAACTGTTCAAATTACAAATGATCTTCCTCTCGCTGCTGTCTCGTCTTCTGTCCATCCTCATCTTCTTTGCCTGAGTGTAACCTCTGACACGATCTCTCACTCTATCCTCCTAAATACTCACTTCCACCTGCAGTTCTGGTACAACCCACCCACCTTGCCTTGTTCAAATCTTATCTCTCTGGGCGCACTCAGTTCATTCAACTTCAGTCTTTCAGTTCTTGCCCTGTCTCTATTGGTGTTCCCCAAGATTATGTCCTTGGGCCCCTCCTTTTCATCATTTACCTTCCTCTCGACCTCTCCATGGTTATAATTTCCATAAATTTGGTATCAGTGCTCATTGTTACGAGGATGACACCCAACTCTACTCATCTACCATTCCTAATTCTACATGGTTTTACTTGTTCCATGAAGATGCAACATCTACTGGACCTGTCCCCACCCACCTCCGCTCTGATGGAGGAAACATCATATGAGTCAGTAAGTTTAATAATAATGTGAACTGAGTGTTCTGGAAAGAATGACTGCAGGTGGGACTTACGTGCAGCATGGCACTAGCTGTGTATGTGATCAGGATAGCAGGAAATGTTCCCAGCTTCATGGCATTTTTAAACACATCTGTTTAAACACAAAATACAGCTGAATGAAACAAAGTGAATACAGCTTATCTTTCAAAAGGAGTTGGTTCTGCCACTCAGATCATCATCCAACAGTGGTGTTTATCAGTGATCAACATGATGTGCTGAAAAGACTCACAGGTTTTGAGCCAAACAGACATTGGTATGTTCCAGGATGTGACCACCAGAACCATGGAGCGGGGCATCTCCACACTCAGAGGTTTCACCACACTGAGGTCCCTGAACAATCAGTCCGACAGAATGATGATGAGTGATACTCCTTCACATACGTAGGTCAGGCCATCTCACAGCTCTTCAGCTAGTCTGTGTTATATTTACCATCGGATGTTGTCTTTTTCTTCTGTGAAACCCGCTCCAGCCAACATACCAGTACCTTCACTCAGATGACCCACAAAGTAATTACTGAAATGGAACGATGCAGCATTCTGGTAGGCGTTCAACCACCTGCACAGGAGAAACACAACAGTCACTCGTTCGTAATATTTCTTATCATCTCATTCAGTTTATTTATATAGCGACGTCACAACAGAAGTCGTCTCAGGGCACTGAACAAAAACATACACATACATTATAAATTACAGTTAGTAAAGTTATCTATCTAAGGAAAGAAGGAAGCCAGCAGATTGCACTAACTATTCTAAATAACATTGTTTTTAATAAAACACAAAACGCCTCGATTTCTGTTCTGTAACTGAAGACAATTTGCTTCTCATCAGCAAAGCTTTAAGTCAAAACTAGAGTTTAATCTGCACCAGATGCTTAGTCCTGCAGCTTAGAGACTCTAAAACAGGTTTAAAATTTTTTTTTTTATACAAACTACCAATATGTCTGTTGGAATCATATGTGCCTGAAAAGAAATGTCTGGGCTGTTTAACCACTTTAAGGATCAGGTTTGAAACAGAAACACTTTGAAATAAAAACATTTTAGAACTTGTTTGGTGTCCCCTCTATTAGAAACTCTAAAATAAAAACAATTTCATTTTTTAGGTCAACAAGATATCTATAGACCTATCTATAGTATATCTATAGTATGTCATAAAATGAAATACAAAGAACAAGTGGTACAGCAATGTCCCCTGTAGCTGAGGGATTTGAAAAAGTGAATGTTTGTAGTTTTCAAGATGAGTGTTGGGCAGCACTTGTTAGAGCTGCTGCCTCTCAGCGAGCAGGTTGCCCGGGTCCAAATGCCGGTCCGGGGGCCTTTCTGGGTGGAGTTAGCATATTCTCTCCGTGTATGTGTGGGTTTTCTCCAGGTACTCCGGTTTCCTCCCACAGACCAAAAACATGCATGTTAGGCTGATTGGTAACTCTACATTGTCCCTAGGTGTGAGTGAGAGAGTGAACGGTTGTTTGTCTCATTTGTCTCTATGTGGCCCTGTGATGGACTGGAGACCTGTCCAGAGTGTCCCCCACTTCTCACACAGTGATAGCTAGACATGAGCACCAGTGACCCCCACGACCCAAAATGGAAGAAGTGGGTAAAAGATAATGGATGGATGGAATTGAACAAGGATTCTAAGTAAACCTTAATGTTTTTGGTGCAAGATATTCATGTGGGTGGGAGACTCACTGTGTGAGGGAGTTTTGTTTGTCTTTTGTTGTTTGTTCGAGGCAGAGCAGAGTGACGGATCCTAGAGAGTGAAGGGAGCAATTTTTCCCACCACCAGGTGCAATGGTGGAGTCAAGGAGTGGCCAAAAGTAGCCTTGATCACCATAGATTAATCTTCAGCTTTGATAGTGATCTTTCTTATGCCTAGATGTAGCCACACACTAAAATGGAAGTTGGTACCTCACTTATTTTTCAAGTTATGCTCACAGCATATGGAGGGCATTCCCAACCTCCCCTCTACACTTCGTGACAGGGGACATAAAATATACACTCCAAACATAAAAGTTTTACTTCTATTGAATTCACAATGGAAGAACAATTAAAACGGCTTAATCTGAAACCCTGGCTAAGCAAGTGAAGAACTGATCCAACAGAGATTAAGACAGAAGTAGTCCTTACTTTTGGGTATAAAAGTTTCCGTACAGAGGGATGAACAAAGGGAAGAGGTACGGAGCGATGCAGGAGGACACCAGCAGACACATTTGACTTTTAACGAGGCAGAAGAAGGAACTGCGCAGCCACAACCAGGTCTGAAAGAAAAACGCATTTTCAACACTACCACACCAGAAAAATGCCAGAATGTAGCTCGGATTGACACTCACTCACCAGCTTTGGACCATCTACTGCTCTCTTGTAGGTGGAAAAGCTGATCCACGGGCCAAACACCGAAGAACCCACAAAGAAAACATAACCCAGGAATTCAGGTAAGGACGGGAGGCGATCCATTGTTCTTCTGTCCAGGTCAAAGGCCATGGAAATAGCCTTCATGGCCACCACCATCTGAGAGCCTGACACAAAGGTTTCACTGGCATAAATCCAAATGTTCTCATCTTCGTCTGGAAACCTGAACGTTACTCAGGTATTGAACAGGAAAATTTTAAACTCAAGTCTTTGGTCAAACAAAATAAAGTAAGGTAGTTAGTTAATTAGACCATCGTTGTCTTCCCAAGCCAGCTATCAACAATAAATAAATAAACTGTAATAATAACAAATTTAAATAATTTACCAAGGAGATAGAACTCAGATTTCAAAAACAAAACATAAAAAATTTGGAAAATTTGGAATCTAACTCATGTACTTTCATTTTTTATTTGACATTCTGATATTCCGGTGTTATCCCCCTACCCCTCATTTAAAAGAAGGAACCCTGCAACCCCACCATGGCATATAATAATAATAATAATAATAATAATAATAATAATAATAATAATAATAATAATAATAATAATAATAATAATAATAATATAGTAATAAATCATTTTATTTATAGGTGCCTTTCAAAACTCCTAAGGTCACCTTACAGAGATCAAAAATTAAAATAAAACAGTAAACACAATAAAAGTAATAAATTCAACTAAGACTGTGAGCCATTATCACAGGAATCCACGCTGACTCTTGCACACTGTCCACATTGTGCATCACAGGCTTGTGGCATGACGAGGAGTAATTAAAAAGTATATTTGAAGCCCAAAGTCTCAGGAGCTTTCTGTGCTGTGTGTATATATTTACTTTAACACACACATGCACATCACACACATATGCAGTGATCGACATGAACGGTTTCCGTTTATCCGAAACAACATATATTTGTCCCAGAAAACCAGATCTCATCTCGAGGCTGTCCGGTGGACAACCAAGTGAAATAAACATGAATTGAAATTCTCTGTCGCTTAAAAGGATTTCTGTCATCTGTAAAAATGAAATGGGGAAATAAAACAAGTGTCCCAGGGTGTCCTAACCAAGTGCTCAAAGTTTGGTATAAATTAATATTCATAAGAGACAACTGGACTTGTGGTATAAATGTGATGTATAATAATGTTAAAATAGATCATATAAGGCCACTTTTGTATAATGATATCTAGCTAGCTTAAATATGAATAAATACAACTTGGTACTTTAAAAACAAATCAACCTATCCTGAATAGTGTTTCCAGAGACACTATTTTAGATGACTTATCCATCTTTATTCCTGGGGGCTCTCCTGTATAAATGATTATGGTACAACTTCCTGCCAGACACAGGAAGTAGCAGTAAGCATTGGTTAACCACGGTAGCAGATTACACACAACAGTTTATTTGAAAGTAATTTACATTTAGTTTAGCAAATAAAACACTGTTTTTGTTTTGTTTACATTTATTTAACAACCATAAAGTTTATGAAAATAACATTGCAGAGTTCAGGTACCTGTTGTGTTTGTGGATGCACGAACAACCAGACCAAACTAAATCAGTGGCTACAACAGCAGTGCTTTGAACATGGATATAAAACAAAAACGGTGTTCCTGTGAAAAGTGGTATAGCTTCCATCTCCTACCTACAGATGAGGAATTGAGAAGAATGTGGCTGAAAAATCTGAACTTGAAGAGATCACCCAAAATGCTGTATGGAGGAAAACCTGCATCCTACTTTGTGTCTGGACTTCAATAAACCACTGGAGAAGAGATGATCCTCAGAAGGACTGAAAACAGTGTGACGGGAATATTGGGTACGATTTCAAGTGTATGGAGGTCACAGCATTATAGTATTTGTTCGTCTTTGGTATTACAGTTTTCTCTGCAATTAACCCAGGCTCAGTGATGCAGGACTTTAAGACTTTGGCTGGGCTCTATGTCTGATTTAAGGTAAATGCGATTGTTATCGATGGGCATCAGAAGCATCTGTAATGTGGGGGGGACACTATTGTGTGTGCGCACGCGCATGTGTGTATGCGCGTGTGCACGTGCACCAGTGTGCAAAAAATTGTACACTAGTTTAAAAAAAAGCAACATTTCATCTAGATTTCCTTACTTTAATTCCATTTAAAGCATGTTTCTCACCAAGTTTGTGTAAATTCAGCTGTTTTAAAGACATTTGAATTTTAATACACTTCAGATCGGCACTATTTGGGTTTATAGAGAATTAAAAAACATCACCACTAGATTTTTTTACTTGTGTTCAACACTACTCATCTAAAGGAAGTTTCTCACAAAGCTTGAGGACAATAAGGTGCAAGGTTTTCAAGACATTTCAACTTTAATGCACCTGAATACACAGAGTCTCTTACACCTGCAGCGTCTGACACGTCACAGTTACTGCTAAGCTAACATGCCACAGATGTAGCGTTGCACTTCTCTCAAACATCCTCCTATACGTTTATGATCAACCCACCGGTCAACAACTGCCAGCACTAAGCTCGCTAAACTGGCGAGCGATCAACACAGAGGTACCTCCACCTCCCCCATCTGTGCGCGTTTTCTGCAGAGGCAGGAGACACAGAGGAAAAACAGTGCAGGTTGGTGGAGAGTTGGAGGTAACCAGGAAAACCTGGAGTAGATTTTTAGTGGTTAAACCGTTTAAGTATTCTCCTAGTATTCAAGTGGAATGGATTCGTTCACGAAGAAAGAGAAACCGCGCCGAATGACCTAATGTTTTACAGTAAAAGTGGGGTGTCCAAATGAACTTTTTTTTTATGTGGGGGGGGACATGTCCCCTTCACATATAATGGTTGCGACGCCTATGTTGGTATCCCACATGGGTGGTTCAGTCCCTATACAAGCGGTGAAAGAGTTTTGTTCGTATTGCCGGTAGTAAGTCGGACCCCTTCAGGGTGGGAGTTAGACTCCGCCAGAGCTGCCCATTGTCACAGATTCTGTTCATAACTTTTATGGACAGAATTTCTCGGTGCAGCCAGGGGGTGGCCTCAGGATTCCATCTCTGTTCTTTGCAGATGATGTGGTCCTGTTGGTGTCATCATGCCATGATCTTCAGCTCTCACTGGAGCGGTACACAGTAGAGTGTGAATCGGCTGGGATGAGAATCAGCACCTCCAAATCTGAGGCCATGATCCTCAACCGGAAAAGGGTGGATTGCGCTCTTCAGGTTGATGGTGAGGTTCTGCCTCAAGGGGAGGAATTCAAGTATTTTGGGGTTTTGTTCACGTGCGAGGGAAGAATGGAGCATGTGATTGGCAGACGGATTGGTGCAGCATCTGCAGAATTGCAGACTATGTACTGGTCTGTTGTGGTAAAGAGGGAGATGAGCTGTAAGGCAAAGCTCTCTGTTTACCGGTCTGTAGTGTCTACGTTCCTACCCTCACCTATGGTCACTAGCTCTGGTAAGGGCACCTCCCTAGAGAGGTGCTTCAGGCATGTTCGACTGGGAGGAGACCCTGGGGAAGACCCAGGACACGCTGGAGAGACTTTGTCTCTTGGTTGGCCTGGGAACGCCTTGGAGTCATCCCAGAAGAGCTGGAAGAGGTGGCTGGTGAAAGAGATGTCTGGGCCTCAATGCTCAAGCTGCTGCCCCCGTGACCCGACTTCGGAACAATTGAAAGATAATGGATGGATGGATAAACTTCCATAGCCTTTACCTAAATTCTCTTGACATATAAGTCTTTGGTGACTTTCTAAAACACCAAAGTCTACAAACTTCATGTGAATTATGTACTCTTACACTGCTGTGGAGAAATGGAACAAAATTTCGATAATTTTTTTGCATGGTGCACTGCACAATTTTGAATCGCAATAAGGTTTCATACTATTACAATTACAATTATTATTATATTATAAACCAGCACATTTAAATAGACAGCTCAGTTCCCTCTCCCCACTCCCCCACCCCCACCACTCCTACTGAAAGGTAGAATAATTGAATGGGTTACAACAGAAGAAACAAGACTTACCACGTATTTTATGCCAGGTAACTACGTCAATTACATGCAACTCTCTGAAATAAAGAGAACAGAATGCATCAGGGACAACAAAATGTTTTTTTTCACTAAAGTTCCAGTGCTAACCCGGTGCTCCAGTATGTTTTTAAGGGTGCTGAAGACAGCAGGGAAAACGCAGCAGACTTGTGGTGAACTGTAAAACTTTCCTCTATTTATCAAACACGTCGTAATAATACATTTTTATAACTTATCTCTTTCTTCTTGAACACCCTCTTAATAAAATAATGTTCATTATTTCTGCCTCATCATATCATGTATGATATAAATGGTAAATGGACTGCACTTATATAGCGCCTTTCTATCTGATCAAGACACTCAAAGCTCCTTACAACACAATCTGTGTTCTCATTTACACAGCACTCTACTAGATCTCTACAAAGATTAATCGGTGCTTTTTCATTCATTCACTGATGGGACACACATCAGAGGCAATGAGGGGTTCAGTGTCTTGCCCAGGGACACTTCGGCATGTGACTGCTGGTGGAACCGAACCCCCAACTCTTGCATTGGAGGACGCCTGCTCTAACCACTCCGCCATAACCGCCCAAAATAAAGTATCTAATGTTGTGGATCATGGAAAATCTACGCCAACATAAGGTAATAATAATGTCATAACTCTAACATCTAAATTAACCGAATAATAATTCCTAAACAGTAGCTGGGGGGTGAGGGGCGTCACTGAACTAGAGCTGTCATTTCTAACCCGAACCCAGAGCCCGGCCCCGCCCAACCTGGATTCGGACTGGGCCATAATAATGTGCTTAATGTGCGGGCCGGGTCGGTGTCAGGCTTTTTATTGCATCAGGAACGCGTGCGGCCGACAATCCAATTTATGCAAACATGGCTTGCCAAACTGCACCTGCCGCAAGTGGCCATTTGACCGCACGCTGACCAGCCGGTTGAAAGAGGTAAGTTCAGTTAAGCTTCAGATGGACTACTGCCAGATCCATCAGCCCAAATGTACGTTCATTCAGCCGCTGCACTCAGCAGACGCACGTGGCCGACGACCCAAACAGGTGAGATCACAAAATATCTGACATGTCAGAGCAAGATGCAGGCAGAAGCATTTAATGCACTTTTAAGATGGCTCTTCAGCTCTGATCTTCTGCCCCCCTCAGCTGTGCGCATCCGCCATCCATTAATAATAGTCGGTGGTATAAGCAGTCAAAGCTTAATTAAAAATGTTGGGGGGTTCCGGGTTCGAACCTGTAATTACTGTTAATTCGTCGGATCAGGTGGGGTTCGGAGCTGATGGCTATGGGCTGGGTGTTTTCTGCCAGACATCACAATTACTCTTACCCAACGAGAAGAAAGGTGAGGACGACGGCTGACATGAAGAGACCTTTGCTGCTGGAGTTCCTGCTGAGCAGGAGGACGGAGTAACACAAAACACTGAGCAGTAGAATCCATAGCATGTGCAGCTCGAAGAACAGAAAGAGTCCATAGACCCCAACCAGAACCGACACCACGTGTTTCGCAGTCAACCCAATTCCTGGGGACAGCAAACAGAAAAGAACTCAATTAGTTCAAACCAGTAACTCATATATGTTGTCAAATTATAGAATCAGCATTGGGTCCATCAATAATGAACATCTGAATTATGATGACAAGTGGAACCACAAAAACTGCTTTCTGCTCGAATCCTGAGTGAGTTCCAGCTTCCTGAGGTTACAACGTTTATTTCAGTGTGTTCCTCACCGAGTGTGAATGTGAACCTGCAGAGGAGACAGAGCATCAGCAGCATCCAGAGCTGCTGAAGGCTCTGATGAAGAGTGACCAGTCCACAGCTGGAGAACAGCTGCTGCCACAGGAGCAGCCGGCTGCTTAGATCCATCCTGCAGAGAGAGAGACACACGTGCGCATGCACACATGTACAGAGTGAATAAAAAAAAACTCATGATACTTTTGGAGTCAAACTGTATAAAGATGGCTGCCATAGTTAGGCAACCTTAACAAACACAAAAATAGCTTTAATTCAGCTAATATGACAAATATAAAATACTTCTGTTCATTCACCAGTACTTTTTACTTGTTAACCACCTTGTTTGTAAATTAAAAAAAAGTTATTTTTCAAATATTCTTTTGAATTTTAGGTCAGAAGATTTTTGTTGTTGTTGTTTGTTTGTTTGTTTCATACTGGTAGCAATAGATAGAACAGTCAGGATGTCATTCTCATCACAACTTTGTCAGCGTGAGCAGATTTCTTTACTTCTCCAGCAATCGAGTCATTCCCCACACATGTTCAGAGAACCAGAAGACTGAGTAAGAAATGTGTGTAACTTTGGTCTGTTAGCAAAATATCTGACGAAACTCTGGAAGGGCTTTAATGAATCTTTCAGACAGTAATCACTGGGTGCACTGTCACACCTAATGATCAGGACAGCAACCACAGCAGCTGACGTCAGAAACCACAACACTCGTTTCAAGCAGTTTTACAGACGTGGATATAAAACTTTCTGTGGTAATATAGTATCAGGGCCCAAAAATAATTCCGAAGTGACAAATCCAGAGCTTTATGAGATGTTTTGCTAACAGACAGAGTGGCTACACACCAAACAGGTAATGCCAACGTGTTGAGCTCAAAGCACGTGTTGGAGCCTTTGCTCGGCTACTACCACAAGATTCAACAGAACTGAATCATGTGTGGCATCTAGCTGTTGCAGCCATCTTGCATCTTGAACCAGGTTGACTCCAGTTATGTGCATCCAATGTTTGAGCTACATTAAATCCCGTCCAGTGATTCATGAGATATTTTGCTAACACGCGCGGGCACACGGGTAAAAATCTCGCTCGGCCAAGCGAGGTGGTAACAATAAAACTGACATTAAAAAAAGCACTTGGGCTAGAACAACATAGTAAAGTGGTTAAAGTTGATCCAACATGTGGTTTGGAAAGCGGTTCCGTTCAGCAGTGCTCTGTGAATGTCTGCAGAGCTGCAGCTGAACCCAACAGAACCGAAACAGACTCACCCGTCCTGCAGCTGACTCTGCTCTGAAGGGAAAACTTGGAGAACTTCAGCTGCTTTGTGGCGGTTAGTAAACAAACATGGCGGCGCTCTGCTGCCCCCTGCTGGCCGGAGGCTGAACCTGCAGTCTGTCCATCCATACTCATTATTTGACCTGTCTGTGCAGAGTCGCTGCTCTTCTTATCTAGAGTAAAAGTACACTAACCCCTGCAAAGCAGTGAGTGTAGCTGAGATAATCACTGTGCCTCTCCCCAATTCAATCCATCCAGCATCTTTACCCGATTCCTTTTTGGATCATGGGGGGTCACTGGTGCCCATATCCAGCCATCACTGTGCAAGAGGACACCCCACGGATCGAAAGTCCATCACAGGGCTGCACAGATGTGTTGGTTATATTGGCAGTGGGACCACCTCTATAAAAGCAGTAGTTTTGCCAGTTTTCCACTCAGGAACCTTCAAGTGTAAGTTAACGCAACCCGAAAGAGTAACAACATCAACAAAAAACTTAGAGAAGCAACTGCTGCTGCCCATCAATCTGGGAAGGGTCAAAGCTTAAACTATTTGGAGTCCTTCATTCTACAGAGAGAATCGTTTTTCACAAGTGGGAACATTTAACGTTGGAAGACCTTTTCAGGAAAAAATCTGTTATTTTGTCTGTGCTTTTATTTGTTTATTGCGTGAATGTTAATGAAGGATTCACACTAATGTGGTCCATTTTTCTTCAATACATTTTTCGGCGTGATTCTTTTCCCGCAGTTTTCAAGCTATTTCAACAAATCATAAATCTAAACGTTCAGCTCTTTCAGGACAATCTTGCTATGACTTTTGGTATTGGTGCAACTTCAGCTTTTTGAACTATTTAGCCTTTTCTGCCCTTTTTTTATTTTTTTTTTTTTGTCTCATAGAAAATGAATTGAGCTCATTTTACATCCTTCATATATTTGGATCTGTTCACAGCCTTTTATTGCTCCTTTCTTATTTTGTTCTGCTTCAGCTTCTTTCAGCTTTTTCGGGCAAATTTAAAAAAAATTTCATTTACTTTCAGCTAATTTCAGCAGTTTTCAGCCGTTTTATGATCCTTTTAGATTATTTGCTAACTATAACATTTTTGTAAATCTTTTTACTTCTTTCTGCTAATTTCAGCTCATTTTTGCAAGTTTCATCTTTTTCTGCTACTTCAGCTATAGCTGTTTTATGCTAATTTGATCTTTTTCATCTAATTCCATATTTTTTCCACTGATTTCAACATTTTTTTTCATTTGAATTCAGCAAAAATGTGCTCTTTCCCATATGATAATTTAAGTTTCTTTCTTATGTTTTTGCTACTTTTCTGCTGTTTTTGCCAATTTCAGCTCGTTTTTCAGCAAGTTCTTCTGCAATAAACATACACACATTGTATTTCCATGTATTTCCAGTTTCATCTTTAAATCAGGGCACCACGGTGACGCAACTGGTAGAGCTGCTGCCTCTCAGCGAGCAGGTCCCTGGTTCAAATCCCGGTCCGGGGCCTTTCTAGGTGAAGCTTACATGTTCTCTCCGTGCATGCGTGGGTTTTCTCCGGGTACTCCAGTTTCCTCCCACAGACCAAAAACATGCATGTTAGGCTGATTGGTAACTCTAAATTGTCCCTAGGTGTGAGTGAGAGAGTGAATGGTTGTTTGTCTCTATGTGGCCCTGTGATGGACTGGAGACCCGTCCAGGGTGTACCCCGCCCCTCGCACAGTGATTGCTGGACATGGGCACCAGGGTCCCCCGTGACCCAAAATGGAAGAAACAGGTAAAGATAATGGATGGTTCTTTAAATCACTTCTTGGTCTGTTGCCTTCTTACATCCCCTCCTACATGTCTCTGCGTGAGTGCAGCTACAGCGTGCGCTCTCAGGACATTATTACCTGCAGTGTTCCCTCAGTGAGGACTGAACTAGACAAAAGGGCCTTCTCCTACTCCGCTCCTGTTTCCTGGAATATCTTACAAAAAGATCTGAAGCTCTCAACCTTGACCTCTAATTGGCTTCAAACATCTGTTAAGTTCCTGTCAAAAACTAACACAGACATGTTCCTGTTTTTTAGTTTTCTACATCGCTTCACAATCTAGTTGGGGTTTTTTATATACAATTTTCTTTCATTTGTTCTTCTCAATTTGTATGCTTTCTTCTATGATTGTCTACTGTTGTTTTTTGTTTACTGTTGTCATAACTCTTTGCTAAAATCAGGTCTCTCTTGAGCTCAGTGAGATTAACCTGTTCAGATAAAGGTTGAATGAATTAAGTGCATTTTTGCAGGAAATGTAATTCAACTAGTTTATTTTAATAATCAACAAACAGGATTTTTTTCCGACAAAACCTAAAAATCCTTCTTTTTTTCCACTAACGCATAGCTGGGGTCACAATATTAACCATCTCCGTCCTTCTCTCACACACTCACACTTCTCTCCACAGCCATCCTTGTTCACAGTCTTGTGACGTCCCGGATGGACTACTGCAACTCCCTTCTTTATGGCCTCCCCAACAAATCTCTTCAGAAGCTGCAGATGGTCTAGAACTCAGCTGCCCGTGTCATAACTCAAACCTCCTCCTATAATCACATCACCCCTGTCCTGCAGCAGCACATCTCCATCCCCTCTCGCTCTCTCAGATCCTCCTCTTCACTACACCTCCATATACCCTCTGCCCGCCTCTCCACCACGGGGAGCAGGGCCTCACCTGCTCTGCCCCTCATCTCTGGAACTCTCTACCCCCTGATTTATGAAACACCACCTCTCTTTCTCTGTTCAAGACTGCTCTGAAAACACATCTCTTTAGACTCGCTTATCCTTAACCTTGCTTTATGCATTTTATATTATTTATGTATTTTATATTATTTATGTATTTTATTTTTCAATTTAGGGCAGCACGGTGGCGCAACTGGTAGAGCTGCTGCCTCTCAGTGAGCAGGTCCTTGGTTCAAACCCCGGTCCGGGGGCCTTTCTGGGTGGAGTTTGCATGTTCTCTCCGTGCATGCGTGGGTTTTCTCCGGGTGCTCCGGTTTCCTTACACAGACCAAAAACATGCATGTTAGGCTGATTGGTAACTCTAAATTGTCCCTAGGTGTGAGTGAGAGAGTGAATGGTTGTTTGTCTCGTTTGTCTCTATGTGGCCCTGTGATGGACTTGCGACCCATCCAGGGTGTACCCCGCCCCTCGCACAGTGATTGCTGGACATGGGCACCAGCGACCCCCATGACACAAAATGGAATAAACGGGTAAAGATAATGGATGGATGGATTTTTCAATTTATTTCTGTTGATCTTTGCACTGTGCTTGTTGTTGTTTGTTTTTACACAATATTTCTGATATGTTTCTTGCTGTAAAGTGTTTTTGGGTGTTCTGAAAGACGTTTTTTAAATAAAATGATTATTATTATTATTATTATAATTATATTATTATTAATATTATCTTTAAATAAGATTATACAAATTGTGAACTGCTGTTTTACTGGATGACGTGTTCAAATGATTGAAAACGTGAAGGTGATTATTGTTCAGCAGATCAGGTCAGAAAACTCCATTCGATAATCCAACATTTTTCAGACAGGTCATCTGGACATTTTATTTTTTTGTGCTGAAACGTTTCGTCTTCAATCCGGAAGGCTTCATCAGTCAAGGAAACACACAACACAAAACTGATTCTTCCCCCAACAGTTTACTCCAAAGTGGAACAAACCAAATCTGGTTTGTAATCTGTAATAATGTAATCTTGTAATTTGTAAATCTGGTTTGGATCGAAGACGAAACGTTTCAGCACAAAAAATAAAATGTCCAGATGACCTGACTGAAAGGCAGCACGGTGATGCAACTGGTAGAGCTGCTGCCTGTCAGCGAGCAGGTCCTTGGTTCAAACCCTGGTCCAGGGGCCTTTCTGGGTGGAGTTTGCATGTTCTCTCCGTGCATGCGTGGGTTTTCTCCGGGTGCTCCAGTTTCCTCCCACAGACCAAAAACATGCATGTTAGGCTGATTGGTAACTCTAAATTGTCCCTAGGTGTGAATGGTTGTTTGTCTCTATGTGTCTCTGTGATGGACTTGCGACCAGTCCAGGGTGTACCCCGCCCCTCGCACAGTGATTGCTGGACATGGGTACCAGCGACCTCCGTGACCCAAAACTGGAATAAGCGGGTAAAGATAATGGATGGATGGACCTGACGGAAAAATGTTTGATCGTATACCTGGATTATTGAGCATGGACTTTTTTGTCCAATAGATGATCCTTCGTTTAAACACCAGATGGCGTGTTTCACTGCGTCTAAACGGAAGTGGCGCAGGTCAATTTTGTCCCTTCACAGTTTCCGTAGAGCTTGTAGTTTCTCTGGGCGACAGCAGGGGACAGTGCTGCCAGTCTCTGTCCATGGTGCTGAAGTCTTTGCTCTGTCCGAGGTGCTGAAAGGCTCGGCGCGGGGGGGCTCATATCGACACACCGGTTCTGCGTTCTGGTGTTCCGCCGCGGAGGCTCCGACTGGACCGTGCTGTGGCCGTGTCTCCGTCCGCCGAAGATGCAGGAGCGGAGGGGGAGGGGAGGACAGTAAGGTAAGGCTGGATGTGTCGGCACAAAGAGCCGAGTTGTTTCCTGCTCCTCCTGCGGCCTCTTCTCCGAGGGTGGAGGTGGGGGATGGGACTGTCAGGGACATTCCTGTGGGTTTAAATTTAGGTCGAAATGTTCACCGGCTCTCAACATTTCCGCTCGTCATTCCGCTCAGAACCCCTAGTTTTAATAAAAAATAAACCTGCTAAGAAGCCGGACTCTGTCGGCTCCGTGTGGACCGTGTTTAGTTTCAGTCCGGGAGCGATGGAGACTCGGTTCTGCTCAGCAGCCTGGCCTACATTTCTGTTCTCACTGTTAGAACTGTGTGTCCTCAACGAACAGTGCTGTGAGTTACCGGACTGTCAGTGAAGGCAGCACGGCCGTGTTGTTGTTATCAGTGTCGAAGGTTCGGATCATCTGGACTTCTGACTGCAGCTGTGTTGTGTTTTCTTCCAGTTCTTTTGCTCAAGGCCCGACATTTAAATTGTTTGTTTAACTTAAATATACATAACAATTCTACACAAAACACTTCAGATGAGTAAAGTTAAATAAAAATATACTGTAACTGAAACATAAACCTGAAAACTGAAACCTTTGTGTTCATACATATTTTACAAGTATCTCAGATTTTACGTCATGTTTCTAAACATGACGTAAAACCTGAGATGCTTATTTTCTGAACACAACGTCAAAGTGACTTTCAAACTACAAAATACATTACGGCAAAGACTGGTTCATCCCAAATATCCAGTCCACTGGCACAAACAGAGTAATATTGTGTATGTTGTTCAGAGTCAGGAGGGTGATCAGTCTTACATCGGGGAAACTAAACAACCACTGGCCAAAAGGATGGACCATCACAGAAGATCAACATCGTCAGGCCAGGACTCTGTGGTCTACACTCATCTCCAGGCCAGTGGTCACTCTTTCAGAGATGAAGATGTTCACATCCTGGACAGAGAGGAATGTTGGTTTGAGAGAGGAGTAAAGGAGGCCATCTTTGTGAAGAGAACCCGTCCATCATTAAACAGAGCGGAGGCCTCCGTGTCCAAATGTCCCCCTCTTACAATGCTGTTATTGGAAGTATCACTCTGCACTCTGTGAATAGCAAGTGGCCATCAGAGCGCCCTGCCTATTGAACTCACCCCACCCCCCTTGTCGACATCTGCAGGCACTGACATAGCGCTAAGCTAGCGGTGCACAATACATACATGCTAGCTAAAAAGCTTCAGCAGGTGGCGCTCCCTTTCACTCACGCTGAGTCTTTCACACCTGCTTGAAAACTATTGGCAAAAATCATGGAAGATATGAGCGCCCTGCCAAGACAAGTAAACTAAACACTGGAAAGTATTGTCTTGCACAACACTAGGCCAGGCCTCACCCTGAGTCATCAGCTTTCAGAGAGAATATTAGCTGCCTAATATTGTAGTGCTTTCCCCCTTTTACGTACCAGGAACAACCTCTGACTCTTGCTGTCAGTTTACAGCCATTAACAGAGACTTCAACATAAATGTCAAAACACACCTAAATAGGACATTAACAAAAACAAACCATTTCCACACTCAGAAACATCAAATATCCGTGTTTTGGTGTTACTAATGTCTAATTATAATAATTAAGTTAGCAGAGACACGAGTCAAAAGGCTGCATGCCCTCGTGGGAGCATGCTCATTCTCTCTCCTGCTCTGCGGGGAGTTCTGATAAACTGATCATATCAGCGTGTGATCACCTGCGAGCCGGATTAAACAACAACAAACAGATTTATTACTGGGGGATATTGATGATGATGCACAGCAGCTTTGTGGTTAGTTTAAAAAACAGTTAACCACAAATAGGGTGGATTAAGTGAGTTAATTTGACACACATCACAACCACTTTCAACCCAGCTGAGTTTTGCTCCGCCTCTTTTGGTGCTGCTCAAAGCTCACACCTGAGTGGGACGTGGACGCTTCATCTGTGTTTTATGAACCATTTGAGGAACAACTGGTCTGTGCAGCCATTTTATTCTAAATGAGAACTGGATCTTAAAGGACCCCCCTGGAACAGCAACATGTTGGTCATTCAGGGAACATCAGTCAGAAGTTTTATTTTATTTTGAAAAGCGTGAAGATTTGAAAAGTCAGAGATGGCTGACGGGGCACAGTGGCTCAGTTGGTAAAGTCGTTGCCTCTCAGCAAGAAGGTTGCCTGATAGAAATCCAGTCAGGGGCTTTTCTGGATGGAGTTTGCATGTTCTCTCCGTGCATGCGTGGGTTTTCTTCGGGTACTCCGGTTTCCTCCCACAGACCAAAAACATGCATGTTAAACTGATTGGTAACTAAATTGTCCCTAGGTGTGTGTGAGAGAGTGAATAGTTGTTTGTCTTGTTTGTCTTTATGTGTCCCTGTCATGGACTGGAGACCTGTCCAGGGTGTCCCCTGCCTCTCGCAAAGTGACTGCTGGACATGGTCACCAGTGACCCCCATGACCTGAAAAGGAAGAAGCGGGTAAAAGATAATGGATGGACTTTTAATCAAATTAGATTTAAAAAATCTTTGTAAAAGCAAAACATCTACCAATCTTAACATTCACATTACCAGACACTGCCTGTTTCCATCACAGCACCCTGAACTGGTTCTTATCAGCCACATTACTGAACAGAACACAGTTTGAAACGTGATCTTTCTTAATAATAACAGGGTTCTGTTCTGGTTTGTTCTGTAGAGGCGGACCAGAACCAACACACAAGAGGACAAGCCTCACAGATAAAGTATCTATCTATCTATCTATCTATCTATCTATCTATCTATCTATCTATCTA